CTTGGCTACCGGAAGCGAAAGTCTGGCAACATTCTTTATAAAGCATATTAATCTTCCCATCATTTCTACTCAATTTTTTCCAAGATAGGTAAGCTCAAAAAGGAAGGATGTTTCTTATTGATTATACAATGTGGAGCTCAACCAGGAGTATAAGAAAGTATATGTTCTTAGAGTAAGTCAAGAGGAAGTCTGCCACACATTGCTCAGTGTGTGTACCATTTTCAAAAGCTGAATATTGCTGTGTGAAGCTTTGCTGTTTCTAGAATCCCCTTCAGCTTACTGTACCTTTGCTCCCATACATTCTTCAGATTCTTGCCAGAGTTGCCACTATCACATTTGAATTTTTTAAAAAACAGTTGTGTTTTTCTCTCTCCACTTTTTTCCTATTGCTCTTTTAAAAAAAGTTATCATTTGCTGTATCAGTTGATCAAGGGTATATTATGCAGACAAGGTATATATCAAATACTGACAAAAAAAATCATCTCTCTATATAGGCCTGTATATGGGTTATGCCAGATGGGGCTGCCCAGGATCCAGAGCCCAAAGTTGGATAGAGGTAACTTTTTTAGTCTCTGGGAACCCCAGTTATTGCAGTTGCCACTGCTACTTCCTCGCTCTACTTCCTGCTTACTTCCATTCTGCCATTCCCATGAGACTCTGATGAGGGAGGAAAAAGGCAACAAGTCTAGTGACTGAGTTGCCCTGGAGTCCCTGGCATCTCTTTAACCCTCAAACACGAGAGTTGTCTTGGTGTAGATGCCTTGGATGCACTGGTGGTACTTGTGCTTGGGGGAGCCCAGTTCCTGTTGGGTGGGCTGTCTGTCTCCCTTCTTCTTGTCTCCTGCAGGCCTCACTCCTGCCTGGGTACTCCAGGGTAAGGGAAAACAATCAGTTAATGACATTTTTACCCCTTTGACTTCTCTGACCACTTTGTTTTGTGACTCAAACCACACTCTGAGGTTCTGTTGCTCTGGTTGGTATGATTAAGGGAGACACAAAAGTAAAAATTTTTAAAAGAATTTTTTTACAATATTTTTTGTAATAATTTTTACAAATTAAAAGCTTTAAAAAGTTAAATATTATTTTAAAAAGATGATCCAATCATCAGTCCTTAAATTCTACCACCCTCTTCATGGATAAAGTACAGGGATAAGGGAGCAGGATATAGTACAAAAGATATACTTTTAAGGCAAGAATATAAGGCTAAAGAAGGTTATTCTGTATTTTAGAGTAAGGGTAAAGATGTGATTAAAAGAAACCATTTGCAAAGTTTACTTTTTTTGAGTTAAGTTTAGATGTTAATTATATATTAATTTGATCATTTAATTTCTTTAGTTTGATGAATAAATAATATTTTTGTAACTGAGTATTAGTAAACATTCATTTTGAAAAAAATTCTCTGGTTGAATACCCTAATGAAATCTCCTATACATGCCCCATATCCTTCTGTCTAATCTGAGTTGTGTCTTCTTCTTTAGATGACCTAAATGTCTGGAAAGCAAAATCACTCTCATTTTCAAGACTATCCTTTAATGTGCCAATGATAAACATGGCCAATTCATCTCCCTTTGTCACTGACTATCTAATTAGCTACAAAATCAAAAGCTCAACTTTTTAGATCCCTTCCATTTTGAAGGAATCTGTAAATTTAGTTTGTAAGGAACAGAAGGCTGTTTGATAATTTCAGATTGAATCACTACAGTTGTAATATGGGCAATAACTTATAAAAACAGCCTCTAAAAAATAACCATCTTGCCACACACTAATATGCTTCCTTTTTCCCCTCTTCATTGCATAGCCTCTTCATTTTCATTATCTTTTCCTTTTTTGCAGTAAGGCGGGGTTGTGTCTCTAGGCCCAGCACAAGCATAGTTCTTCACTCCAACGCTCCTACATTATTACAAGAAGCCCTCTGGGCTGCTCTGCTATGCTGCACAGTGAAAAGGATTTAATTAAGACTTACATTTCTGCATCCCTATACATATTAGGGCTTCAACTTTTGAGGCTGATGACAGGCTTTCTCAGGGTAACATTTCCCATCCTCTCTTCTTTACAGCTTAGAGCAAAGGTACCGTGACTGGGTTACAAGGGCAGGGGGGTCCTTGCAACACCACTATGTCTAACCTCTGTTGCTTTGGCAGGGAAAGGTCTTAGGAATCTGTGGCAATGTTGGAAGTAGAAAGAGCTCTATCATACCAGGTAAGAAAAATGCTGAAGAATTAGCTTTAAAAAAATACCATTTACCTAAAGTACTGCATTTGAATAATCCCTAGATGGTCTATCTCTTGCTACAAATAGGACATATTTTGCTTGGCAAATCCAAACCTGTGGCAGAGTCCTACTGTGGAAATACTTCCTCTCTTGCTCTATGCAATGAGAGTATCTAAAATGATTTCTCAATGGTGATTTCTCATGCTTAACTGCTTTACTTTCCTTTATCTGATTGGGATATGGTGTCACACATACTTGTTGTTCAAGAGGCAAGGCTAAAATAGTGACTTAACTGTTTAAGATGGAACTACCAGTAAGAGATTGTTCATTAAAATCTTTGCACTCCTTGAGGATGTTCATGGGATCTTAGAATCCTTAACTCCCTTTGCATCTTTGAACAGGATCCTTCTGCTCTGTGAAGCCTCTCTTGGTTGCCTCCATTGTCAGTGACCTCTCCCTCTTCAAACTTCATTGTATTAGCTTGTCCTTATACACATGCGTACTATGTTTCTTCACAATAGAACATGAGGTCCTCGATTTTCATACCCCTCAGTGACTAGCGCAATATCTGAGATAAAGTCAATCAGTCAATTAGTATTTATTAAGTGCCTACTATGTGCCATGCAAAGAGAGCTAGGTAGCACAATGGATAGAGTACCAGGCCTGGAATCAGGAAGACTCATCTTCGTGAATTCAAATCCAGCCTTAGAAGCTTACTAACTATGTGACCCTGGGCAAGTCACTTAACTCTGTTGGCCTCAGTTTCTTCATCAATAAATTGACCTGGAGAAGGAAATGGCAAACCACTCTAGTATCTTTGCCAAGAAAACCCCGAATGGGGTCACAAAAAGTTGGATACAACTGAAACAACTGAATAACAATATGTGCCAGGCACTATACTAAGTGCTAGAGACATAAAAAAAGGCAGAGGATAATTCTTGCTCTCCAGGAGCTCACAATCTACTGTAAGGGGAAGACAATGTGCAAACAACTATATACAAATAAGCTACAATCAGGATAAATAGGAAATAGTGAACAGAGAAAAGACACTAGAATTAAGAGAGATTTAGAAATTAAGAGGGTTTAGGAAGGAAAGATAATAAATTACGTTTTGGACATGTTGAGTTTAAGATGTCTACAGGAAATCTAGTTTAAGATGTCTACTACACAGTTGGAGGTCTGAGACGAGAGGTCAGCAAAGAGATTAGGGCTGGATAAATAGATTTGAGAATCATCATCATAGAGCTGATTATTGAATCTATGGGACTTGATGAGATCACTGAGTGAAACAGCACAAAGGAAGAAGAAAAAAAGGCCCAGAACAGAGCTCTGTGGAATTGCCCTCAGTTAGCAGGCAAAACCTCGCTGAAGATCAAGCAAAGGAATCTGAGAAGTAGTGGTCAGACAGGTAAGAGGTGAACCAGGAGAAAAGAGTCCCCCAAACCTGAAGAGAAGCAAGTATTAAGAAGAGAGTGATTGACAGTGCCACTGGATGCAGATGTCAAGATGAGGATTGAGAGAGAGACAGCCAGCCAGACAGAGACAGAGAGAGAGAGAGACAGAGACAGACAGAGACAGAGACAGACAGAGAGAGAGAAAGACAGAGAGAGAGAGAGAGAGAGAGAGACAGAGAGAGAGAGAGGGAGAGGGAGAGGGAGAAGGAGAGGGAGAGGGGAGAGAGAGAGGGAGAGAGGGAACAGGTACTTAATGCTTTTATTGGATTAATCTGATTAGGATCATAGGATTTATAGCTGGAATGGGTGTGATCATTAATCACGGATGTTCATTGAGTTCAACCCTTCATTTTACAGACAAGGAAACTGGAGAAGTTAAGTGACTTGACTGATATGGGATGGAGTGGAAAGAACATTACAAGCCACTGGGATTCTAGTCTCTCCTCCCATCACTTACTAGCTATGTGACTTTGGGCTAGTCACAACTTTTTTGGACCTTGGTTGTCTCAGCTCTAAAGTAGGGACTATGCCACTGTATCTACTTGAAGGCAGGAGTCTGGCCTAAATGACCACTTGAATTCCATTCTAGCTCTAAGGCCGATGGAGCATCTAAATTGCTATTATAATAAACAAAAACTGTAGTGTAGTGGAAAGAATATAGGATGGGAGTCAGAAGAGCTGGGTTTGAATCCTAGCTCTCTTCTTTACTAGTTGTATAACCTTGCTGTCAGTCATTTCATCTTTCTGGGACTTAGTTTCCTCATCTACAAGATGGAATAATGGCCACCACAACTACCTCATTGGGTTGTAATGATTTAATGACATGTGTGTATAAATATGCATATATGTACAATACATACATGTGGCCATAAAGTGCCATATGAACATCAGCTATTATTATTACAGGTTAGGAATCATAGTCAGCTTTACTGTAGCAAAGAAACTATGTCTTACCCTCAACTACCTTAGTAGTGTTCATGTAACGATTATGGAATGCTACTGACACATAGGATACAATAGTATTCAGAATGTGTGTGTGTGCGCACGTATATGCACATATGTGTGTGTATGTATGTGAGACGTCATATGTGCATATACACCCACATTTATGTATGCATGTATGTATGTGAGACGTCATATGAATGTCAGCTATTATTATTAGCATCTAGGCACAACAGTAGGCTTTATGGTGTGGAAAAGAAATTGTCTACTTTCCACTACCTTAGTATTCATGTAATGAGGAATGTTGCTGACCCAAAGAGGATACAAGAGTATCCAGAATATGGCTTTCCAGTGATTTGGATATCTGCATGTTACGTGATGCTCTTGTTTTAGATGCAATTATGGGATGGGTCTGTGGCAGTAAATGGAACAGTGTCTTATATGTCACAGCAAGCATGTATCTTTCATGGAAACATGAGAGAAAACATATTATTTGGAGAAAAGTTTGACAGTCAAAGGTAAAAGTGTATTACTCAGTAAACAGGTTTAGACATGCCATTCTGAATGATAGCAAAGAGAGTTTTTTTCCTAAGTGTCCCATTGCAACATTTATAATGGCAAAACAGATACTGCTGTTTCTTCTAACCACCTTAGGAAGCTGGAAGAAACTGCTTCAGAGTACCTATGTTTCACACAATGAGAAGCTGATTTGAATCAGAACTCTTATTTCCACTGTCAAGTAACATATGCTAAGGACTTAGCACAACATCACATATGTTTATTGACTGCAGAAAAATGAAACCACTAATTTTGCTTTAGGCTGGGTAACCTAAACCTCCCTTGAAATCAGAGGTGGCAGGTATGTGCTTAATCAGTCCTGGCATTAATTGATGCCACTGCCATCAGGATGTGTTGCTATTCCTTTGCAGGAAGTGATTTAATGGAATAGAAACAAAGTTTCCAGTTTTAAGAGCACACTATTAAGCTGAAACCTACCCAGAAAAGAAGGCAGCAATTTTATTAGAAAATGCAGTAGAGTGAAGGTGAAGTGCTGGTGGTAGGGAAGAGGGAAATGCAGAATTGTAAACCAGACTGAGCCCTACAGCCACTGCAAGTTTCAGTTTCCATCCCTGAGAGACACACAGAGATTTATGGGGGTGACATGATGGTTAGAACAAGGCTTATGTACCTAACTTCACTCCATAAACCAACCTGAAGAACAGCGTCGATTTGATAAAACAAAATGAGGGTTTCAAAGGCAGATCCTAAGCTCTTTCACAATATACAGCTGGAGGGGCGGGTCTTTCTTAAAAGGCCTACTTTTTCATTTTGTCCTTTTAGGTACCAGCATGCAGTCAAGGTCTGTGGCTTGCAACAGGACTTAAAAAATCTTCCTTACGGAGATTTGAATGAGGTGAGCATTACCATGCCCTCACACAGAACAGCAACCACAAATGCAGGCCTTTTCCCCAAGATCCTTTAGACTTAGTGGGCACTTATTCTAGTTGAAGGATCTTCGAGGAGTGACAAGACTCCTGATAAGCTAAAGCCATAGTCCTCCTCAGAATCCTCATGTAGAAGTTTGTGCCTCTTCTCATCTCATCTCAGCTGGACTTTCCCTCTTATTGATGTGATCATGCCAAACACCAAGGGCCAAGAGCAAGGTACTGAGTCAGGCCAGACTTCTTCGGATGTCAACAGGTATGGCCTTTGGCCACCATGGTCAGTTAAGGTGAAGTCAGCAGGCTTTTAGGGAAAATGTTTTCAGAGGCACTCCATCTGCCTTGGTGGGTTGGCTATCATAATTCTTACCAAAAACATTTGAGGGAAGGGCAGAGCATCCTCTTGCCATGAACGGTTCTCTGGGCAAATGCCCTCAGTGGACTGTTCTTCACCTTGAATTTCCCTCAAGAACATAATCAGGGCCTGGTTTCAGTCCCTTCCATTTTAGCATTCATGCTATTCTGATCTATGTGGAGTGGCAGGAAGAAAAGATGGTTGTTCTTCTGCCACCATCAAGCTGGAGGAGGGGAGTGGGCTGGGGTGGGGTGTGTGTCAAAAAAGTTCTGTGATAGATAAGCAATTCTTGTTTCACTATAAATCTGAAGTACCGGACTGAAAAATCAGAATAGCTTTTCTACTGACTGGTTATTTCCTCCATGCAGAAAATGGAAGGGCCGATAGGGTATGATCTTTCTACTGTTTTGCAGATTGGGGAGCAGGGCCTTAACCTCTCTGGGGGTCAAAAGCAAAGGATCAGCTTGGCACAAGCTGTATATGCCAACCGTGAGATCTACCTGCTGAATGACCCACTCTCAGAGGTGGATGCCCATGTTGGGAAGCAAATTTTTGAAGAGTGCATTAAGAAGGCACTCAATGGGAAGACCATGGTTCTGGTAACTCACCAGCTACAGGTAACAGGAATCCAGGTGTTCTACATGGCCATAGTAGCAGTGGCCACTTTCTGACTTAGCACCACTCTGCATTTGTAAAGTGAGAAAATAGGTTATTCAGAATAATCACTCCCATGGATATAATACATTGATGTTTACAAAGCATCTTCCTCACAACCACCTTGTGAGGCAGGTAGCATAAGGATAATTATACCTGTTTCACTGATAAAAGCAGCTGAAGCTCGGAGAAATTAAGTGAAATGCTCAAGGCCCACTTAGGCCTCCTGACTCCAAGTCCTGTGCATTTTCCACTCCATCATAACATAAACTGAGGCCATACAAAACCTGGGGACGTGTAGATGGTAGAACATAACCTGGAGGAGGATGACCAGTCCACTATCCAAAGTGAGTTCTATATTTAAATCTCCTGTGCAAATTTACTCTTTGTGTGCATGGCTACCATATTTACTTAATGATGGCTCTGCCTCTGAGTTGCCATGTGACTTTGGACAACCTCTCTGAACCTATGTCTTTTCCCTCTATAAAAGTGAGGAACTTGAACTGCAGGATATCTTCTTCTTTCTAAAATATCTTCTTCCATCTCAAAAAAAAAATGTGGACCTCCCCTCCCCATTCTCCCCACACATTTTACTCCCCTTTAGGAAAATGCAACCAGCCACCAGGTGGCACTGGGAGAATGATTTCCATTTCCTAGTAGCTCAGTTCCAAGGAGAAAGGCAAAGAGAGTAGGGCAGGACAGAAGAAATCTTCTGCCTTTATGCTTGTGGGCTGGTTGATGGCTTTTTTTAATAAGTGGAAACAGGTGCAATGACTGTGGTCAACCAGCCAAAGAAATCTGATGTGAGGATTGCAAAATAAGTTTGCAAAATAAAATATAGCATACTTCCATTAGCAAACAAGGGTTTCACCCATTCAAAATCATTACTCAAGTCCTTACCAATGTATATCTCTAAACCAGGCCATACCAAATGATCCATGAATTCAAAAGTTAAAGGCATTTAATTAAAATAGATAGGAAGGTAAACAACAAGGAATTGAATCAGTTAGTAAATGATCCCTGTACTCATCGCTACCCTCCCAGCTCTCCAGGAGGGCACTCTGCAAGCTGACATCTGATTCTTCTGCATTCCCAACATAACAGGAGGGGAGCACATATCAAATTCATGCTAGCAATCCTGCATCCTAAAGTCCAACTACAGGGCAGCTAGATGGCGCAGTGCATAGAGTACTGGCCCTGGAGTCAGGAGGACCTGAGTTCAAATCCAGCCTCAGACACTACTAGTTGTGTGACCTTGGGCAAGTCAATTAACCCTAATTGCCTCAAAAAAAGTCCAAAGCCACTCTGCTGAGTGAGCCTGTTCCTCAGTCTCAGAGAAACAAGTTAGATAGCACTGAGTCCTGGGCGATGGACAAACACTGAAGCCTCTTACCACGCAGCTTGAAAACATGATCATGGTCCAGACAAGATGTAAAATTCAGGATGCCATGATCAGATTCTCCATGCTTGCTTTTTCTCCACATCACTAAATTTAAAGGCCTATCATCCATCAGGTATGATGCCAGGTACTAGGGGCACAAAGAGGAAAGCACAATCCCTCAAGGCATTTACCTTCTATTGCTATGGCTTTGTTCTGAGAGGCAGTGTAGTTCAATGGAAAGAGAGTTGGCTTTGGAATCAGAGAACGTGGAATCATAATCCTGGCTTTGTCACTTACAACCTACATGAACACAGAAAAACAATTTAATCTCTTTGGGCCTCAATTTCCTCATCTACAAAATGAATCTGAGTTGGACCAGATGATCTCTAAGGTCCCAGAGTTCTATGATCTCAATCCTTTTTCTTTTGCTTCCATGTCTCTGCTGTCAATCCTTCTGCCACCCACAAGAGGTTTTTGTGTGAGACTCATTGAGTGTGCTAATACAGAGCTTCCCCGATGACTAATGCTCAACCTTCTGGGAAATGTACAGAAAATTTCCTCCACGGAATTGGGGCCTCTTTGGCCCCAAATATCACACGAAATAGAATACACTAACATGTCCTCTATAAGGACAACTAGGACCCTAGAAAGGCCCTCTGAGATTATTTAGTACAATCTCTTCATTTTATATATGAAGAGACTGAGGCATAGAGAGGAAGAGACTTCTCCATGGTAACACAGGTAGTAACAAATACCACAGTGAGATCTTGAACCCAAAGCGTCTGCCTTCAAATCCTGGGCTCTTTCCACCAAACCATGTTGCTTAAAACCACACAGAGTATCACTGGCCTGGCTGAAATTGAGCGTTGCTAGTCAGAAGTGCTTCTTTAATTGTCCCTTGGAGCCGAGGCATGTTTTGGTATAGCAGAAAGAGCTTCAGCTCTAAAGTCAGCAGACGTATTTTAGTCAATTCAATTCAACTTTTTAAGCTCAATAAACTCTTACTAAGTACATAAGAAGTGCCAGCCACAATGCTGGGGATACAAAGATTAAACCAAACAAAAAAGTTCATGCCTTGAAGCTTATGGTCTATTGGGGGAAACAAGAGGTATACAACGTACACAGGTAAGTAAGTACGCACAAAATTCAAATAAAGTAAGTTCAGAATAAGGGGGAGCAGGACTAATATTTTGGACAGGGGAAGGGGAGGAATCAGGAAAGGAGGCTCATTGAAGTGGGGCTTGGGTTCCAGCACTGAAGGGATTTAGAGATTCCAAGAGTCAGAAGGGAGAAGGGAAAACACACAGGCTCCACAGGTCAGTCTGTCCAAAGCAAGGAGAAAGGAGATGGAATATTGTATGCAGGGAATCATAAGCAGGTCACTTCAGCTAGAATATAATGTGTTAGAGGAATCCTCTGAAGTCAGTCTAGAAAGATAGGTCAGATAGGGCTGTAAATGCCAAACAGAAGACTGTATCTTAGAGCCTCAATAAAGGAGCCCCCGAAGCATCTTACACAGTTTAGCTTCATTGCCAGACTCGAACTTCAGCCTTTGCACTGTCACCAAGTCCGTGGGATCTTGGATAATTTGTTTTTCTTCTTTGAGGCTCGGTTTCCTTATATATGGCAGTGAGGTGGCATGGTGGATAGAGTGCAGGCAGGGCCTGGAGTCAGGAAAACTCATCTTTTTGAGTTCAAATCTGGCCTCAGACACTCTGTGTGACTTGTTAAGAAAGTCACTTAACCCTGTTTGCCTCAGTTTCCTTATCTGTAAAATGAGTTGGAGAAAGAAACGGCAAACCATTCCAAAATCTTTTCCAAGAAAACCCCAAATAGCGTTATGAAGAGTTGAACACAACTGAATAACAACTAAACAACAAAATTACTTACGTTGTAGGAAAAAATACTCACCCTATCTCATTTGGTTGTTGTGAAATGATATAATAAACAAAAATGTACTGTGCAACGGTTAGGTGGTAGTATTTTCACAAAAAAGACTTGTTAAGGCTGGTCTCATCTAGACCTTGACGGGTTAAGCCATTCTCTCCACTGAGTTGTCAAGGTTTGGGCATTTTGTGCTCTCCCCGGGAAAACCGCTTTCTTTGCTCACTGTGCCTGTTCAGTGACCACCACGAGGACCATAAAGACTTGGCCAATTGAAGTGCAAGGTTTCAGGACTCCTTTTATTTGGAGTTCAGTAGTTCTACCTCCCCAAGGTACGATCGGATAAGAAGTAACATTCTTATTCTTTCGGTCATCTCAAAGGAAAATGTGGAGATTCTAACATCAACCAGGAGGCTTGTGAAATTTGAGGAAGGTGATGAACACTTGCTAGTTCTTCATTAGCACAGATGCCTATTGTACTTTAAAAACAAGTTTTTAAAGGAAGAAACCCCTTTTCTCAGATGGATTACATCCCACCACTGTAAGGACAGATTTGACCCTGTGAGCAAAGCTCAGTCTTATTTCAGAATCAAGTCTAGTTCTTTGGGACAAGGGGTGATAATGGAAAGAAGTATTTGGGGGTAAAGTGCTTATGTAATCCTAACGTCAATATTACTATAATATTCTAATTACATATTTGAGTCTGTATATGTATTTAACTTGTAAGAACTGTAGAGACCCTATTGACAACAGAGAGTGTGACAGTCAATTGTGGGGATGAGTGATAATAATGAATGATGATGGTGATGATGATGATGATGATGATGATATTGCTACAGACAATTAATCAATAAACATTAATTACCTACAATGTGACAGGCGCTGTACTGAACACTGGCGATACAAAAGAGGCAAAAGACAGCTGCTGCCCCCAAGGAGCTTACAATCTAATGGGGGAGACAATACACACACAAATTTATAACAAAGCTAGCTATATACAGGACAAATAAAAAATAATTATCAGAGGGAAGGTGCTAGAAATAAGGGGGGGGTTGGATAATTTATAATTAACATAAAGAAAGTAGAGGAAATACATGTTTGGTGTCTTTGTTGAACATTTTATGTAATTTAGAGATGGAAGGAACCTTAGAGATCTAGTCTAATTCTCTTGTTCCACAGGAGAAGAAAAAAAGCTCAGAGAGCTCAAGTGGTTTACCCAAAGTCACTCAGATAGTAAGTAGGAGAGTCGGAATTTGAATCCAATGACTCTAAATCCAGTTCTCATTCTACTACATCATACTACCACAATACTTTGTAGAGTTTATTAATGTAATTTTCCAAGTCAACATGACATATTTGTAAAGTGCTTAGCACAGTACCTAGCATACAGTAGATGCTTAATAAATCATCGTTCTTTTTCCCTATTGGGGTGGTTACATTGTTTGAGGTTATAAATACTAATAATAATCACTGACACATGAGCTTTTAAATTTTGCAAAGTACTTTACCTATAAAGGCTTATCTGAACCTTTCAATAACCCTGTGAGAAGCAAATGACTATAGGTATTATTATCTCCCATTTTACAGAAGAGAAAACTGAATTTCAGAAAGGTTAAGTGACTTGCCTATGGTTACACAGTTAGTACAAGAGGTGGGATCTAACTGATTCCAAATCCCAGTCTCTCTCTACTGTGCCATGCTGCCTCTCAATGAGGTTATGTGACCATTTTTGTACTCATGGCATTTTCATGTCACAAGCTAAGGGGGACTGTGGAAGATACTTGGCCTATGGAAGAGACCATTTAACCCTGACTTTTTCTTTGAATGAATGGTCATACCTCCTGTCTTTCCAGTGCATCATACTGTAGATTGCTTTTACATTTCTGCAGTTTTTAGATTTTTGTGATGAAGTCGTTTTATTAGAAGATGGGAAGATCTGTGAAAAAGGAACTCACAAGGAACTCATACTGAAATGCATACTGAAATGCAATATGCAAAGATGATTCACAACCTTTGGGGATTGCAATTCAAGGTAATTTGCAATCTTTCCAAAAATGTATTTATGAGGAGCTACTTATGAATTTCTTTCTTTGGCAAATTTTAGGTTTTCCTTTTCAGGAAAAATTTTATTTTGTTCCCAGGATCCTGAAAACATTTATAATAAAGTAATGATGGAAGCCCAAAAGGAGAACTAAGGAGATCAAGTTGCCAAGGGAGAGGAAAATGCTGGTACAATCAGAATTAGGGTCTCAACTCTCTTATTGCTCATGGCTAGTGAATGGCTCCATAACTGTCTTTATTTCTAATCCTAGCTTTGGCTCCACATGATGAAAAAGATGAAGGAAAAGAACCTGAGACAGATCTAGACCCTCTAGACACAAAAGGTGTGATTTCATACATTGTAATAGACATTTATAGAGCATTTTTAGGTTTGCAATGCAATCTACATACAATATTGATCTTGACAAAAGCCCTATAAGGCAAGTGCTACAGATGTTATTCCTATTTCACAGACATGGAAAAAAGGCTAAAGAAGGTTAGGTGACATTTCATGTTACCTAGTTTTTGAGGTAGGACTCAAACCCAGGCTTTTCTGATTCCAAGACCAGTATTCACACTGCATCATTTATTCATCTATGCACTCATTATTTTTAAGTATTATCTATAGTAGCTCAGAATAATAGCTCACATTTTTGTAACACTTTTAAAAGCACCTTGGAAGTGCTTTTCTTGACAATAGCCTAGTGACTTGGTGCAAGACTTACTGTCATCCCTATTTTACTGATAAGGTCTATGTAGCCAGGAGAGGTTTCATGATTTCCCCATAGCTATACAGCTAGTAAGTAGTAAAACTCAGACTCAAACTGATTTCTCTGACTCCAGGCAGGTCCTATTACATACACTCAAATGCAGAGCCCCAGGTATGCCCAGCCCCACGCCAAGCACTGCGAGCTAAAGAAATGTCCGTCCCTACCCTTGAGTTGCAAGTCTTAATTCTGCAGACACATGAAAACAATGAGAAAAAAGGTGAAGTTCATCTACCACAAGTCAAAATGTATACAAAATGCTGAGGCAATGTGGCGAAGTTGCCAATGGGGAAGGGACATGAACCCAAATCAGAGGATCACAAAAGGCTAGAGGTCATCTCATCTAGCTGCCTCACTTTACAGAGAGGAAAGTAAGGCTCAGCATGATTAGATGACTTGCTCAAGGTCACACTAATTAGGAAGTAAGAACTTTCTAACTCTTTCAGACTCTAAATTCAGTGTTTTTGCCCCTACACCATGTTGTTCCTTTGGGGAATTTGGGAGCTGTTTGTACCAAACTCAAACAAATCCTTAAAAAGGGATGAAATGAAGGATAATTTTTCAAAGTTGAGGTTTTATGCCTCAGAAAAACCTTTCACTGAAAAACAATGCTTTCTAAATGGAAAATTTGTAATAGACACAAGGCTGAAGAAAGGGAAATTGCTGTTGCTTTTGAATGATCCTAGGCCTTGGAGCAGGAACCATTTGTCTCTTGCCACATGCTACAGGGAAAGATGGGGTAGATGGCCCCAAAGGGGCCCTGCAATGAAAGATTCAACGAAGTTGGCAGAAAGTGAATTAGGTGGCTCCACACTGTACCATCTCACCCCAACTCTTAAGGACAAATGTCTTTATTCATCCCTAGAGTTATCTTGTTTTTTAGTAGGTATTCTATTAACCTAAAATTTATGTGACCATCAACAGTCCATTTTACTGAAAACTAACGGGAAGGAAAAGGAAGGGAATGTATAAGCTGATTCTAGAAACTGAAGCCTGCTACCTTTGGTGTGAGGGAATTTTATAGAATGCAGTTAAAGATAAAAGAACATCAGGGATGCTCTAGGTAGTGTTGATTAACTCGTGAAAGAATTTGGTCAATTTTTTAGCACTGTTGAGAGGGCAGTCATTAGGACCTGCTCGTATGAATCTTGAGACCTATGAGAATTCTCCTTCATTTTGCTGTCCCAGAGGGAGGCATAATGTGCTTGAGCCCTGCTAAGAATGTTCAAAGGAATATAAAGGTTCTCAGCCAGTGTATAATGGGCTTTCTATTCAGTGAGTTGCTCTTGAGCTGTGAAAGTTGTTCTTAGGGCAGAGTCTGTATATCTATAGCGCACTCTTCATCCTGACTCTATGCCTTTTGCTTAGAGGAAGGAATTTGATTTCTGTCTTTGCTTGGGTGTTGACCTTTTCATTTTGCTCTGTTGGGAAGTAGGGGGTAGGAAAAGGGCAACATTAGAAAAAGGTACATTCAGACAGGGCTGCCAGCACTCCCTTGCAGGCAGTATCTCTATTTTGTTTAACCTTATGTTTATGGACATGGAGGAGCCATTTTCTAGATGCAAAGAAACTGGAACAGGGCTTAGGGTGACAGTGTGTCAGGGGCTGAGATTCTGTACAACTACTTGTTGTGCACAACTAGAAGTCAGTTTGCATGTGGGGATCTTATGTGCAGCCACTGAGTATTGCCCTTTGTGTTTTTCTGTGGCAGTTCCTACGCACCAACTCATTCAGACTGAACTATCCCAGGAAGGATCAGTGACCTGGAGAACATATCATATGTACATTAACATTGCTGGAGGTCTGGTATAAAACACCTCTGGGTTTAATTTATGCTTTATTCTTTGTAAAACTGTTCAGTACACATTTTATGGTCTCTTTAACAATAACTACTTTTTTTTTTTACTAAGACTGTTAATCAATGCTCTTCCTGAAATCTACAGTCTGATGAATTCAGTACTTCAATGGAATCATTCTTTATCTCCAGTAAGGCTGCTAGCCCTTATTTTAGGGAAAAACAAGTAGGAACCAGGAGCTGATCAGCTTCATCTCCTGAAATGTAGTGCTATGATGTCCTAATATGACTCCAGTCAAATCAAAATAGTACCTGCTTTCACAACAAAATCCCCACCACAAAGAAATGCGCCAAGCTTGGAGATGTGGAATCTCTGTTACTTGTAGTGTGTGTATTTTTCCTCCCAAGATCAGCATTCTATTTAAGAATTCTGAGCTTCCTCAATGAATGTACATTTTTGTAACACTCCAGTGCCATAGGCAGACAATCAGGACCAATTTTCCAATTGAAGGGAACAAATAAATCCAGGATGACAGTGTTTTGTGCACAGAATTTTACATGTAAGCACCCTCATGTGAGGTGGTTCTTGATAGGTAGCTGTAATTATATGGGCAGCTAGAGACACTGCTTTGAACATTTTAACACCTACACAGTATTTGGATTCCAGGAAGACAGAAAAACCTGGCTTCTAGCATATGAATAACTAGTTTGAGAATTCCTTACCCCTTCTTCCAGGGTATATCCTGTCCATCTTCGTGGTGTTTCTCTTCTTTTTGATGATTGGAAGTTCAGCGTTCAGCAACTGGTGGTTAGGTTATTGGCTAGATCAGGGATCTGGGGTGAGTTTCATTCATGTTATTTTTTTAAAAAAAGTTTAAGTAATAATGATATCTGCAGTTAGCCTCCTTCACTTTCAATTCACTAAGTGCAATCATGCTTCTTAAAGTCTACACTAACATTCAGAGACATAACTAGAAATATCTTAAAGGGGGGCAAAAACAGTCCAGTGGGGGAAGGAAGCATCCAACCTTTGGGATAGTTACACTAGCAAAGGAGGAGGTCTGATCTTTGTCCTCACTGAGGTTGTGAAGGAAGGTAGGCCCTGTGAGTGAGGCACCACAGTGATGTGATCCTGAGGGAGGGTGGCAGGGTCTGCTGCACAAACTTGTGGGAAAAGTGGCACAAACAGGGTGGAGGAATGCCGTTCAGTATTTGGGGAGGGTAGAAAACATGGGGAGGAAATAAAACCTCTATGAGGTCAGTGACTTGGAGCAAAGACCCATTTGCTCTGTGTTACCATGATCAGAACCAAGGATACCTCAAATTCAGACCTTAAACATTTGTTTTCCCAAGAAAGGGTCCTGCCAAAATGAATAATTCATGTGAATTCAAAGGGCCTGACTTCGAGCAAGTCACTTTCCCTTTTATAGGCCCCAGTTTTCCCCAATTAGCAAAATGAAGCGGTTAAATTACATGATTTTCTGAGCTCTCTCATAGTCGAAAGAGCACTAGGTTAGGAATCAGTAGACCTAATTAGGGTTAGAATCCTAGCTCTGCTAATTACTACCTATATCACTTTAGACAAATGACTTGTCCCCTCTGGACATCAATTTTTATGTAAGTAAAATGAAGGGGTTGGGCTGGAAGATCTCTCTGGTTTCCTGAAGCTCTAAATTTCATGAATCAAAAGTGTTTTTTAAGAAGAACCAATTCTTAGAAGTTTTTAAATTTGGCCACAAATGGAAATGCCCATTTACTTCTACCCTCTGTAATACCCTCCGAAAGTGGTATTTACAGCTCAGGCAGATAGGTGCCTACTTCAAAATAACCCTGCTCAGTTATTGTCCACTCCTCTCACTTTAGGTTTCTCTGTGGCAGCCACAGTGAAATGTTGATCTGGTGAACAGGGTCAAATGCCCCCAGGATGCAGACATCCACCAAACCCCAAAGACCTTTTGGAACTGGACACATCCTAGAAATTTCTACCAACCTTTCGGAAGAGCTAATGAACCCACCTCCTTGGAGGTGACCCTTGGAAACAAAGAATATTCATCCTTGGGGAAAGAGATTCCAAAAGTGATTGCATTTTCAGCTTTCCAAAGGAGAGCTTCAAGATACCAGGAGAAGAGCTTTAGTTACTGACAGTGATCTTAAAGACTTTCTAGAAGGCTGGAAAACACCATGAGAATCTTGATGGTATCTTCTCTCTTTAACCTTACAAGGGCAACTTGGTTCATACTATCTCCGTGTTCATGCATTTTCCTGCTCTCCATAAATGGCAGGTCCAAACCTGGACCACGATGGAGTCTTCTTCCCAAGTTGGGTCCTTTATAAGTTACACTTTGAGGAAGGCACTGAGAGTTTTGCTTTATAAAAGGCTCATCCATCAGCCTCATAATTTCCATTTGTGTTATTACCATAAGCGATAAAAACTGTTTAGAAAACGGCCTGTGTTTGTTCCTTAATGTTCATGTGAATTTAAACACACAGCTCAGAGAAAAATTAAAAAGGCATTTCTAAGCAGGATATTATGTCTTCTTGGATTGCCACCAGAGAGCTACATTCTCACTTAAAAGAGATGGAGCTGGAAAGTAGTTTAGGGTCACAATGAGAATCCCTTGAATTTATTTCACACATTTTTCATAAGAGGTTCAAAACATTTTATGTATGTTACCTCCTTTTCTCTACTAGATGGAGGCAGAGATAGATGTCTTATTTTGTAGATGGGAAAACTGAGACTCTAATATGTAAAATGACTTTTCCAAAACCATTCACAGTAGGTAGTACTATTGGGTGCTCTGGCATGCCATTCATCCTATATTACTTTGAGGTGGTTTAAACAATTTCACAACATACTCAATTTTACTTTGCTTTCTGAGTGCCAAATGCAGCCGAGATCATAAGAGTTGTGGGAGGCCAAAGGGATGGATTCTGTTCTGGGCCTCCCTCAGCTATCCATCTACCCTTGTTCTCTAGGCCATTTACTTCTGCCTTTGAAGTGAAAGATGCACAGTTGTTTGCTTGCTTTTCCCACTAAATGGCAGAACCTAATGAGACATGTGCCTCTACACTGAGAAATGGTTGCCCTGGATTCCTGGTCCCTGAGACACAAACTCATTGGTTGATAGCTGACTTTATGTTACCAGCAATAATTCAAGTTTTCAAAATCTATCCCATCCTCCTTTTCAGCTTCTTCCTGAAATGCTCCTTTAACCTCCCTTTCCCTTACATTGTACAAAAGACAATCCAGATACATCACTCATTTCATGAGCTTCTTGTCTATTTTCTTTCCACAGATGGGCTATAGGACTCATAATAATGAGACCCCTTGTCAGACTAGCGATATATTGGTGAATCCCAAGCAACCCATTTACCAGTTGGTGTGTGTGGCGAGTGTGATGGCTGTGATCATTTTCACTATTATGAAAGGATTTGTTTTCACCAATACAACTCTAATGGCATCTTCCACATTACATGACTGGGTATTTGAAAAGGTAGGGCAGAGTAGGTATTTTGCAAAATCAGCGATTTTGGGGTGGGCAGCTGTGGTGGAAAATGGAAAACAAAAAACCAAGAACTCAAACCACGGGATTCACTGGATTGAGAGTCATAAGTCTTGGATCTGAGTCCTTTATCTGCTATTTCCTATCTATATAACCTCCTTGAGCTTTAGTTTCCCCATCTGTAAAACGAAGGTGTTGGGAGGCATTTCTAAGATCCCTTCAAAAACTAACATTCTTACTCTCATGTGATGTAACAGAAAGAGAGATTTGTAGTCAAGGGACCAGGGGCACAAATCCTGCCTCGGCTGCTAACTATCTGTGTGACCTTATTGAGCCGCAGTTTCCTCAGCTGTAAAATTAGAGGCTCAGACTAGGTGCCCTCTAAAATCTCTTCCAGATTGGGCAAGTTGCTTCACCTCTATGAACTTCACTTAGCTGTAAAGTAGAAGAGTTGGACTATATGTCCTGTATATGTTGCTAACTATCCCTTTCAGCTTTAAATCTATCACCTTGAGCTTGACAGTAGTGGGGTAGTGGGAAAACAAAAGCAAACAAGAAACACTGGATTTGGAGTCAGAGGACCTGATTTCAAACCCTCATTCTGCTGCTCTCTGCCTATGTGACAATGGGTTAGTCACTCCCTACTCGGAATCTCAGTGTTCCCATTGGTAAAATGCTGATGTAGGATGAGATGACCTTTGGGGTCTTTCCCAGCTCTCAGTCCTATGACACAAATTCCAGCAAAGTGGTTTTGAGTTTGCTCAATGACCCTAGAACATTGCACCAAAGATCACTGCTCCATACAAATTCCTGTTTTCTTTCCCCCCACAGATCTTAAAAAGCCCAATGAATTTCTCTGACACAACTCCCACTGGCAGGCTAATGAACCGTTTTTCCAAGGACATGGATGAGCTGGATGTAAGGCTGCCGTTTCATGCTGAGAACTTTTTGCAGCAATTTTCTATGGTGTTATCTATTGTAGTTATATTAGAGGCAGTGTTTCCTGCTATACTCTTTGTGCTGGCTGGTCTAGCTTTCATTTTCTACGTTCTCTTACGGTAAGTTGTTGATGCTACTGCTGGGTCTTTTTTAGAGGTGTGGTCAAAGATCCTTTGTCAGACTGGTACTAGGGTGGCCATAAATGGTCGTGATATCTAAATATCTTTTTATTTTACCCAGGTTGTAGAATAAATTTATTTTTTTTAGTTCCTGCCAAAGCAAGACGTCTTCTGAAAGACAATCATTGTTTTTGATGTCACACCCAAGTTTTAGATGCCCTCCTCTCACCTCAGGAGTCCCTTTGCTCATGTCTCAGGGAGAGGAGGTAACCAGGAACACCTCCAGATCTAGGAACTGGGCAAGTCCTTGTCTTCTCAGGACCTCAATTTTCTCCTCTGTAGAAAGATAGATAATATGATTCCCAATAGTTCTTCCAGATCTGGCATTCCAATCTTTTATTGATGTGTAGATGAATTAACTTCTCTTTGAGAAAATACATTGGTTTGTCTCAAGATGGAGAATCCTAATGAATCCTGGGAAGGCTTACAGATCTCATTGCTGGTGACTTTGGTCCAAAAGCCTAGGCAGAAGCAGACTGGAAGGAGAAGCATCAGGATGAGACCCAATGAGGCATGTGAAAGCTAAAATAGTTTTTCTCAACTTTTCTCACTCTGATAGAGCTCTGAACTTGCTGAACTCTTAGCTATGCTGCTTCCTAGCTGTGTGACTCTAGACAAGTCACTTAATCTTTCTGGGCCTAGTCTTTTCATTTGTAATATGGGAGTAATCATTTTACTGCCTAACTCATAAGCATTATTACTATCATTATCATTTATTTCTCTGGACCACAGTTTTATCATGTGTAAAATGAGCAGATAGGACTAGCTGATCTCTAAAGTCCCTTTATAGTTCTAACATTCTATTATTCTGTAGCATGGGTCATTCCCCACTCCCTAGCCCCCTCCTTCCACCTGTACTTTGCCAGACTAACTATCTCTACACCTTCATTGCTAAAAATTAGCCGGAGAGAGTGAGGACACTGAAATGATGCAGCGCGGCAAGAACAATTTCAAAAATCACTAAAGCATCCCTTGACTGGGAAATATGAGAGTCTGGGAGGAGTCCGGAAAATAGCCTTAATCAGTTAAGCTTTTCAAATATGGCCGGCCCAATCAAAAAGAATTAGAGTGTAAGCCTTGGGCATCCTAAGATTTCTGACTGATAACCCTAGGGAAAAAGCAATACTTCAGAAGGTGCGGGCTTTCAAACACTTAGCTCTTGGTAACTTAGAGACTCTAATTCAGGCTAACCGCAACACATCTACCTCTACTATGTGTGGTACATACAGGTATACAACACTTAATGAATGCTTATTCCTTTTTATTTCTCTTCCCATAGCAGAGACATGCACAAGCAGTTTTTTGTTTTAGCATCTCTTATTATAAGTCATTATAGAGCATTTAGGAATTTTCTTCAAAGACCAGCATCAATTTACTATTAAAGAACAGAGGAACAAAATGTCTGTGGAACCTAGTCTAGATTTGTCTTGGTATTTTGGGGAGCTAAGAATTTCAGACTGACCTTGCATAGTTTTCCTAAGCTTAATTTATTTTAATCCTCTTTTAATCTTGGAGAAAGTTTGGTTTCAGAATTGTCAATTCCTGCAATATGACTTCATGCTATCCTAGGGGTAATGACTATGTCATTGATTGTGATCAACCAAGACCTACCCTTTTTAAGGGAGAGAAACAATGGAGTTTCAGAAAAGTCTTGCTGTCAGTTTGAGGCCATTTCTCTAATCCTTCCCACTGCTCCTATATATTTACCTATGCCCTACTCAATATTTAAATATAGCACATGAATTATTACCATGGCTTCAATATAGTTTTCAAAAACACTCCAGTATGCAGTCGAACAGATGTTCTATATACCCAAAGTCTTATGCTAGTGTCAAGACATAAGATACTGACTCATCTTATAAAAGTTGTAGAATTGTAGTTATAGGGCTAGTCTAGAGATCATATATTTCATCATCAGTACTGTGTATATATACTGCCTTGTGACTTAAATATGTAGGTTGATTATAATCACTACTATCAAAGGAAGGCAGCCTGGTATAGTGGATAGAACTTTTAATTTGGAGTCAGAAGAAATGGATTCACATTCTGGTTCTCACATTTATTAGCTCTGTGGCCCTAGGAAAATCACTTTACTTTCCTGAGCCCCAGAAAAAGAGTACTCTTTGCCCTAGAAGAGGCTTTCATTTAATAGCATACCGGACAGGACATTAACCTGACATTGGGAAAAAGCTCTCCTGAAGTGAACTTCAGCAAAGCTATATTGATATGCTCCACTGAAGAATACCTCCAAGGACCAAGCCAATTTTTGCATCATTTGATGCACCTGATCCTTCTAGTGTTGACCTAAGATTATTGGATTATAGGATTTAGAACTAGAAGGGACCCTGGATATCATTTAGTCCAATCCTTTCATTTTACAGATAGGAAAAATGAGGCAAAGAGGAGAGAAATAATTTACTTAATATCACACAGACATTGAGTGGAAAAGGCAGGGTTTTAACCCAAGTCATCTGACTCCAAATCCAGGGAGGTGTCTGATACCCAAGGTAGACAACAAAGCCTAGACATGACATACTTGGCTGACATGAGGTTATAGACATCTTGAAGAAGACTGGAAAATTTAGATAAATTTCTCAATTACTGATTGAACTGTTGTGAAACAGTTTGCATCCTCAAAAAAAGAGCAACAAAATGAACCTCAGTTAGGCTGTTTCTATTGCCTCTGCAGAGTAGACTAGTTCAACCAACAATGAATATTTTTGTTTTGAGAAGAATTGTAGTTTTATTAGTTTCATGCACAAACTATAAAATTTAACTGGTAAAGTCTTGTCTAGGAAGAGGTCCTGCCAGGTCCATTTTTAATGAATAGATAACACTCATCTGTAACAAGGGACACTTCCTGGCACTGGATTTAGAACCAGAGGGCTTGGGGCTAGAACCTCAACTCTGCTACCTGCTAGCTGAGTGATCTTGTGTAAGTCACTTACACTTGTACTCTCTTGACCTCAGTTTCCCCCTCAGTAAAATAAGGATGCTAGACAAAATGAGGACCAAGGTCTCTCCTAACTCCAAAGTCTACATTGTTGCTAAATATTTGAAAACCGTTAACCCCTTAAGGTTTACAAATTGATTTTCCTTAACAATAATTGGATGAAGGACCTACTGCCGGGACCATTATTCCCATTTCATAGATGAAGAAACAAAGTCTGCTATTAATTTGCTTAGGTTCCCACTTTCCCCATAGTTATCAGGCTATAAGACAAACCTGCCTGAATTATCCCTAATCCCTTAGGATATTAGGATGCAGGTCCTGCCTGAAATATCCCTAACTCCTTGGGATCGGAACTGATGAGGTTTGGGTCTTTTGTCCCAATTTAGTTTTAGCTGCAAATGTAGAGGATGAAGTAAGTTAGTCCTCAGAATCCCCCACATAAATGATAACTCTGTAGGTGGTGGTCACTTACTGATGATGTCCTGGTGCCCCCCCCCCCACACACACACAGCCTTTCTTGCTTCTCTGCTTTCTTGCAGAATTTTCCACAAAGGAATCCAAGAGCTGAAGAGCAGTCGGTCTCCTTGGTTCTCTCATATCACCTCCTCCATGCAAGGTCTGGGCATCATTCATGCCTATAATAAAAAGGAACAATTCATCAGCAAGTAAGCACCAAACAGTGCCCTGGAGTGGTCTCAGCATTGCATCTGTCAGCTTGTTAATAGGAACAAATGACACTTCAGCCCTCAGTTCTTCACTTCTATCTGTGCAAAGGGCTTTGACCTTCTGTAGCACTTATATAGCAGATGCCCCCAAAACCCCTGGCTCAGGGATTAAATGACAGCCTGGGGCAGTGCTAAATGACTGGGTCACAAATTTCTCAAATAGTCCAGTGTTTCCTCATGCAGTCTGGAGTTTTAACCATACCAGTACTATATCTAAGGAGGCCCTTTTCTTGCATAGAGCCAGCCCTTAGTGAACTGAGTCATTGGGGCAATTTACCTTTGACAGTATCCTACCTCCAAGTCTAGCACCCTTCTTTCTTCTTTCTATTGTTTTCAAATCTTTGCTTTGGCCCCTCTTGTGTGCCTCATTCCTACAGGGCAAATTGTGAAGTGATCTCAGAAAGGAGTCTACAAAGCCATAGCTGATAAAGGCCTAAAGTTTTACAACTTTCCCTGGGAGGTATATTCGAACAGACCAAGCTGGGAGACTAAAAACCTTAATTACCCCAGGAATGAATGCCTTAAAGGATGCCAAAGCCAATCCTGGAGCTTTAGGCCTCCCTAACTGAGAGCTTCTTCTCAAAGTACTGTGCCTTCAAACCGATGACTCTTTCACCTTACACTCCTTACAGAACTTCCCTGATCCCCAAACTCCAAATTAAGGGCTCAAGCCTTCTAGACCATCCTGGCCCCTGAACTAGCTTGATTCAATGAGTTAAGCTCTAATCTTCAAGCTCTAAATCTATGATTCTACAAATCTAAATAATAAATCAAGGTTAAGGCAAATGAAGTGCATATAGAAGAAATCTACTTAGACCTTAAATTATTCTGGATTAAAGCTCACCTAATATCTAGCCTGATCAGCCTGCTTCTCTCTAGGCTGAGCATCATCAGGACTTCAGACAAGAAGTCTTGGCATTCACCAACTTGGGCTCTCTGGATGAGGCTCATTGGTTCATTCTTACAGGCCCATGTTCACTACCAGCCAAACAAGAACTCCCTTGATGGTAGCCTTGTGGTGTTTCACCCACAGTACCAAATAACCACTAAACTACCTATCTAACTTCACACTCTCTCCCCAACCTAACCAAGGAACAAGTAAGGAAATTGCAGCAAGTAAATTAAATAGTTCCCATTACCTTAAAATCAGAATAATTCAACCCAACATGTACATAAAAGATAACCATATTCTTTACTAATGAGAATGGTGGAATTTTTAGATATTGTCATAGTCAGTGAGGGAGATATTTAAAGGAAAATGACTCTGCTTAGTGTCACCTTAAATTGCAAGAAATAGGCAGAAATCTCTCTATGCTACCTGCACATATATAAGAACTAGATCACATTGAGTTCTTCAGACAAAGCAGTCTTTAGTGTCTACTGAAGTTAACTTACTGCCTCACACAGGGATGAAATACTTCTATACAAACCAAATCTTTCAGATTCTTAAGCATTCTCCATTTAATCCAGAGGTTTCTTTTTAGCCATAAAATGTTTTTAACTCCAAGTTTCCAGAAGAGTGCCCTGAGAAACAGCCCTTTTTCCTGTATTTTGGGGGCTCCTGCAGAAAGGGCGTAAAGTAATGTTTCTCTTCCCAAACGATAAATTAGACTCCATATGTTATCAGTGTCCTCTCCCGCAAAATGCTCAACCCCTCCCCACCCTGAGCCTCAATACTTCTCCTTTTAGCTGGTGTGAGGGTAAGGGAGAGGAAGAACTAGAAGCCAGGAGGATGAAAGGGCTGGGAGAAGGTGGGCAAAGTATCCAAATTTTCATGTTTTTTTTTTTTTTTTAAGAATAAGGACCTTTGATGGCAAAAGTTTTATGGACCCATAAAAAATTACAAAAGATACATGCATTAACTGACAGTTGGGAATCACTATTATAGGGTTTATCACTGACAACTTCTGGGTTCCTCACTAAGAAGTTCATTTATTGGCAGCCTCCACATGATCCAAATATTTTAATTAGTTTAATTAATTTATATTTAGTTTTCAACATTCACTTCCGTAAGATTTTGAGTCTTAAATTTTCTCCCCCTCCTTTCTCTCCCCTTTCCTCAAGACAGCATGCAATCTGATAGAGACTGTACATATACATTGATATTGAACATATTTTCACATTACTCATGTTATAAAGAAGTATTAGAACCAATGGGAGGAACCATGAAAAAGAAGAAACAAAACAAAACAACAAAAGAAAAGGATAGCAAATAGTATGCTTCCATCTACATTTAGACTCCATAGTTCTTTCTCTGGATGTGGACAGCATTTTCCATCATGAGTCTTTTGGAGTTGTCTTAAATCTTTGTACTGCTGAGAAGACCCAAGTCTATGAAAGTCAGTCATTGCACAATGCAGTTGTTACTGTATACAATGTTCTTCTGGTTCTGCTCATTTCACTCAGCATCACTTCATAAAAGTCTATCCAGGTTTTTCTGAAGTCTGCATGTTCATCATTTCTTATAGCACAATAGGATTCCATTACATTCATATACCATAACTTGTTCAGCCATTCCCCAATTGATGGGTACCCCCTCAATGTCCAATTCTTGGCCACCACAAAAAGAGCTGCTATAAGTATTTTTGCACATGTGGGCCCTTTTCTCATTTTTGTGATCTCTTTGGGACACAGACCTAGAAGTGGTATTGCCAGGTCAAAGGGTATGCATAGTTTTATAGCCCTTTGGGCATAGTTCCAAATTGTTCTCCAGAATGGTTGGATTAGTTCACAACTCCACCAACAATGTATTAGTGTTCCAATTTTCCCACATCATCTCCAACATTTATCATTTTCCTGTTTTGTCCTGTTAGCCAACACAGATTCCTTTTTTAAGGGGCTAACCTATTTCAAATCTTGATTCTAATTGTCTTTTAGCCTTGATTTTGAGACAAAGATCAAACTGAAAATTTTAACACAGCTAGTATTATACATCATCAGTTTGGTTAAAGACATTACCAGTCATACAGCCTTAAAATTTTTTTAAATTATAAAAAAAAATTTTTTTAAAGCCTAGCTCTCCCTATCTCACCCAGACTGGACATACAGAGGCTACATTTAGTCCTGGTCACATTCTGATTATGACAGGAGCTTTAATCTCCTCTGTTTCCAACCTGAGTCAGTTTGCCATCCACTATCCCCAACTCCCTTTAGGCAACCTGGTGGCCCTAGCCACTTAGTGTAGATACCAAACTCAAGGGATCAGCCAAGCTTCAGCCTTCTCCAGGAGCAAGGATTATAGGCATGAATCACCAGGCTTGGCCATACAGTCTAAAACAGTTCTATTTTGTATGAAAGGGAAGAGAGACATGCAGTTATTCACAAAATCACTCATGTCAAACACTTAGATTAAACCTCTGACTTCCTAAAATTTTTTCTGCCAAGGTTTCTCATAAAAGTGTCTTACAGAATACCACGCCCCCCACCCCATACCTTTCCAATAAATACTGACTGATGAGTTCTTTTGTCAAGAATTTATCTCATATCATACATATTTACATACATATACATACATATTTAGAAGTAAAGGGGTTTGAATTCTAATTCTAATAGGTTGCATCAGGAAATACTCCCAATCTGAATCCCAGGTGGTGATTCTGTATCTTGTGAGACTAACCACAAAGATAATGCCTCTGATCTCTTAATAGCTTCCTAGTCAGACAACTGAATTTTTGGAATTTATATCAGTACAAAAGAAACATCATGGCAGTTGGAAGATTTTTTTTATTAAACAATGGAGAAAATGAGCTAGAAAAGAGGCAGTTACTGCAAAGCTAGTCAAAAGACCAGTCTGGGGATACTTAAAAACACTTGGTATTGATGGCTGCCTACATTATATGACAGCATTATTATTTTAGAAGGATGGGCTTTCTCACAATATGTGTTAACAAAAACCCAGCATGGTCTAAAGATTTTTAAAAAGCATAGAAATGGAATCACAGAATCTTAGAGGTGGAAGGGACTTTAAAGGCCATCTAACATGGCCTATACACTACATGAATTTCCTGCTACAATATCCACTTGAAAACTACAGTGTGGGGAAACTCACCATCTCCCCAAGCAGCCTGTTCCACTTTTGGACAGCCCTAATGACAAAAAGATAGCTAACTGCTGCATTTTGGTAGGGGACCATGAAATAAGTGTTTTTTCACCATACAGAAAATGCTTTATGCTCCTAGTCTTTATAAAGCATCTGCTTGCAGATGTTTAAAAAAAGTGTATTTAAATAATTAAATTCTCTATTTCAGGCTTCTCTTTATTTAAATTATCTTTATTTCAGGTTTAAGATATTAAATGATGAAAATTCTAGTCACCTCCTGTATTTTAGCTGTGCACTCCGGGGGTTTGCACTAAGAGCAGATATCCTCATGAACCTGGTCACTTTCATTGTGGCTGCACTGGTGGCTCTGAGTTTTTCTTCAATCGGTGCTTCATCCGAAGGTTTATCCTTGACCTCCATCATCCAGGTAACATCTGACCTGAGGATGGGTATTGCTTAAATGCTCTGATATACAGAAAGGTAGAGAAGGTCTTTTGTCACACTTTTCTCTTTGCCTGACACCCACAATTTCTCTTGCTTAATGAAATAAGCTCAGTTCATTGATGCTCAGTTGTCTCCTTTCATTGGTTCAAAGGTGGTATATCCCCCAATCTTGTCAAAACCAGGTTTTCTATTAATATCTTTAGTTTTCCAAAAAGGATGGCCTTTGCATTGCCACAATGTAACAGTAAATTTCACACTTGCTGAAATCTATGGAAATGTTTCCTTTTTGTCTTGTTTACTGATTTAATTGAGAATTAGCCCCTCCCCCTTTTTTAACAGTGCCTAAATTAAAAGTACTTGAGACTTGTAAGAGAGGTTGCAATTCTTGGCTTTGCCAAAGTGACAGAATAAAGAAGGAAAGAATTCTTGGCTTTGTCAAAGTGGCAGAATAAAGGAGGAAAGAAAGAAAGAAAGAAGGAAGGGAGGAAAGGTAGGAGGAAAGAAAGAAATAGGAAGGAAGGAAGGAAGGAAGGAAGGAAGAAAGGAAAGAGACAAGTATTTATTAAGTGCCTTCTGTGTTCCAAGCACTGTACTAAAGTGCTTTATAAATATTATCTCATTTGATCCTCATAACAACTGGGCGAGGTAGATGCTATTATTATCTCCATTTTGCATTTGAGAAAACGGAGGCAAACAAAGGTTAAGTAACTTGCCCAGGGTCACATAGCTAGTAAGTGTCTAAGGTCACCTTTGAACCCAGGTCTTCCTGACTCCAGGCTCAATACTCCATCCACTCTACCAGTGTAAGAATTTAACCCAAATTGAAATCACAGAAGAAAATAAAATCAGAAGTATTTCTCAAGAGTCTACTGCGTGGGAATACCAAAAAAGTAGGGCATAGCCTATGCCCTTGGGGTACTTGTAATTTAATAGAAAGAAAAAATATGTGGATATGAAACATACATACATATATAAATATACACAATATACACATATATGTACACATGAGTATATAAACACAACTGAATATTTTTACATATACTTGCTTATACATACATATACATACATATATAACTTAGAAAATATAATTGAGTGCTAGGTGGTATGGTGCAGACTATGCATGATATTGAGATTCTTTTTTTTTGCCTTCTTTAAAGTATATTTTATTTCTTTTTTGTTATCCCTGCCCATCACCAGAATTTCTCCCAATATTCCTCCTCCACACCCTTAGAGAGCCATTCCACATAATAAATAATATTTATTATGGAGGGGCAAAAATTAGAAAAGGAAAAAAAATCAGCATAACTGATCAATGCATCAAAAAAAATCTGTAAATATGTGCAATGTCCCACTTCCACTGGCCTCCCACCTCTGCAACCAAGTTAGGTGGAGTTGTCTTCTCAAATCTCTTCTTCAGATCCATTCAAAATGGATACAAAAAGCCTTGTTTGTATGAAATTGGCAGTGGTGCCCTGAAGAATTCCTCCTCTACAAAGAGAACTGAGTAATGAGAAGGGCCAGGCAAGAGATGCTGCTTCAGGTTGCTCCAGACTTGAAGGAAAGGCAGATCTGGAGCCAGGTTTTTTTTTTTTTGTTTTTTTTTTTACAATCCTCTGCTGAATATATGAATATGTTAGGGGCCTGGTTGGCTGCTGAGCTGGTCATGGAGGAAGTTGTTCAGTCTTAGGAAGGCAGCACCCTATGCACCTTTAAAGCAGACAGAAAATATGGCTGTGGTTTGGACAGTTGGTGCTGATCTAACTGTGGACACAAGTCTATCATTTCTACAGGTATCAAGGATATACTTTCCTGAGTGAGTTTCATGGTGTTGGTGGTGAAGCAGTAGAGGGTGTTGTTGAGTTACTCTAATTGTCTTCTATTTTTTCATTCTCTTGGTTTTGTTTTACAATTTCTTGATTTCTCATAAAGTCACCAGCTTCCATTTGCTCCATTCTAATTTGCAAGGAAGTATTTTCTTCAGTGAGCTTTTGGACTTCCTTTTCCATTTGGCCAATTCTGCTTTTTAAGGCATTCTTCTCCTCACTGGCTTCTTGGACTTCTTTTGCCATCTGGGTTAGGTGTTGTTTAAATTATGTCTCTTGGATCTATTTTCCAGGTCAGTTGTTTTTCCAATGAGATATTTTGCATTGTCTTCTATTTTTCCATTCTTTTGGTTTTGTTTTAGAATTTCTTGATGAGTTGCCATAAGATCCAGGCAGTGACCAGCAACAGGAGAGCCAAGTGAAAAAGTTGGGAGAGGTGGTGGGAACTTCTGGGGAGAGGTTCTGGAAGTGGTGACTTGATGACCACAAGGTAGATAAGGTCTTGGCTACTTCCAAAGGTGAAAGTCAAAGACCACTCATCTTCCATTTCAGGCCTTGAGTGTATCCACTGAAATGAGCTGGGTTTGGGCTCATCTTGCACAAGTCCTCCAAGTAAAGTGCCTGATCCTGGAGCAATGATCTCTTTCTGCACTGTTTGCAGCTACAGAGAGAAGGGTAGTTTCAAAAGTGGCTTTGACTGGCTGAAATGTCAATGTGGGCCCTGGAAGTCGCTGTTGGTTTTTCTTTCCCTGCGTATCAGGGACTTCCCCTTTATCTGGTGGCTAGATTGCTTCCCCCTCCTTCAGCCCTTGATGCCAATCACTGATGGGGTGAGAGGGAATCAGTTTGTTCTACAGATTTTCTGTTGGTCAGTTCAAACCTAGTTTCCAGGTTGAAGCTGTGGTGTCTTGAAAAGTTCCTTCTCTAGGAACAGGACTGAAAGGATGAGAGCACGGAGACTTCAGTCAAGAGTAGCTACTGCTGGCTTCTCCACTGGGATGTTTACAAGTTACTGGCTAAGTTTTTCAGGGGTCTAGTCAGCCTCTGTGCTGGGCATGCTGTGGTTGGTACTGGAAGATGGGCACCCCAAGTACCATGAAGAAGGCAGGAAACATGGCATTAGGTTGAGTACCTTGGAGTTGCTCTAACTGCTGGTGTTATTGGTAGCAAGAGTAGGTTCAGGGGCCAGAGATCAGTCCTTACTAAGTCACAGTTTGGAAAGGCACCAGGGATATACTTGCATGATGAAGTTTCCTGATGTTGGTAGTTGAGTATTAGAGAAATTCAAATTGCCGCAGGATGCATATAATGACCAGCAATAGGAAAAACAGAAGGAGTTGGCAGAAGAAACCCCAATGTTGAGAAAGTGGTTCTGAAGGTTGTAGGGGTAACTTGATGACCACAGGGGCATACAGTGCTGGGTCAGTTGCCTAGTGCAAAGTTAGTGCTTGTAAATTATCCATTTCAGGCCTTGAGTATCCACTGAGATGAACTAGGTTTGTGTTCTTCTTGAACCAGTCTCCAAAGTGATTTGCTAGTCCTGGCCCAGTGATTTCTATTCCATGAATGCACCCCAGATATCCTGGTAGGAGGCTTCTCAATCAGGAACACAACTACAACTGGAATCTAGACTCTGAGCAGAGACTGCTATTGAGATTCTTAAGAGAAAAAGATTTTTCTGATTTGGGATAATCAAGAAAGACTTGATCCATCCCATCATTTTTATCAATGACTTAGATGAAAGCCTAAGTGGCATGCTTATCAAATGGAGGAGGTAGATTTGAGATGAACCTTGAAGAATGAATAGAAATTGGATTGGCAAAGAGCAAGGGGGAGAACATACAAGCAGGAGATTTATAGCATGAGCCAAATAATGAGAATTAACCTTTTTCAGTTGAGGTGGGAAGGGAACAATAAATACATTTTCATTATCAGATTAGTGTTCATGTTGGGAAAAAGTAGGAAACCGGTTGGACAATGTAGAGACCAATTAAAGATTTGCCAGGGTAATGAGCTTGATGCAATAAGCAACATACAGCCATTTTAGATTCTTGTGCATGGGAAAGAATAATTCATTTAAAATAGAGCTTTATGAAGTTGAATCTGGTGTCTGTAGAAAATGTGGTCTGGAGAGGAAAAAAACCAGATCATTTAGGAAACTATTGCAGAAATCTCAACATGTAGTGATGATGGCCTGTATTTGGGGTTACTGAAGTAGAAATGGAGAAAGAAGAAAAAAAATCTAAGAGACACGAAGGAAAAATCTCTGATTTTGACAAATAATGAATAATTAATTGCTGAAGTAGAAATGATGATAACTTTGTGACGAACTGATCATTTCATCTTAAAATATGTAATAGAGAGGAAAATTTGACATTGTCATATGTAGACTCAAGATTTTAATAAAATAGATGTCAAAGGGTTAGAGAATGGATAGATATGATCCCTTGACATAAAACTTCACCGGAAAAGTTAGTTCAAAAGGGATTCTCAGTGTAGCTCTGAAGATACAAAGACAAATAATTCTGATAAGCAAGAAAAGGGGAAACTGTCTGGAAAGGCACATCCTGTGGATAAACAGGGAACCCGTTAGCCATTTCAGATTTTTTAAAAAGACATATGTAAAGAAGATGGAAGTAAGATTAGGTAAAGGCAGATAAATACAGAAGCATAGCATGGAACTACCAAAATAGAGTCAGGTGCACTAGGGCTAGGAATGAGCTAATGCTGATGGGGAATGCTGATGGCAGAAAGATGCTTTTTATTTTTAGTGATGGTGGAGTTAAACAAAGAAGGGCTGGGGCTGCTACTCAAGCAGGTGGGGATGGAATAATGGAAAAGGAATGAGATAAAGAAGGAAAAACTACTCAGATCTAATTTTGCTTGTTTTTCCTGCTAAGGAGAATGATCTCCAGGCTAGAAAGAAAAAAATAAAAATGGTTAACAGGGATTTTTGAAACTCAAGATAAGTGAGAAGATAATAAGAGGTCACCTAACTACTCTCACTGAATTTAAATGAACAGGTCCAGACAAACTACATAGCAGGATTCTAAAAGAACTGGTAAATGTGATTACTGAGGCATTGTCAATGACCCATGAAAGACTGGCAAAAACTGGGGAGGTGCTACTGGACAAGAGAAGGGCAAATATACTGATTGGT